AACTTAAATCTTGCCTTTGAGAACAGGTGACGATACGAAGGCTAGTTTTAACCCTCCCCCTTTCCGAGTTTTAGTTACCAAAAAATCATAGTCCTAAGTTGGGGGGTGACAAAGTTTTCTTTTTTGGTTTATCCATTTTTAAATATAAAAAGCACCAAACCCGGGCCCCCGGAGCTCAATTGGAGTATTCCCCCCCCTTTGGGGGGGCCCGGCACCCCGGGTTTTTAGTTCCCGGGTGGGGGGCCCCGGGTTTCTGGTCCCGGGTTGCCCCTTTTTCCAGCCCAACTTTTTTGCTTTGGCCAGGGAAGGCCAGTGGGAGGGATGGCCCCAAGGTGCCTTGGGGCCCTGCCCCCCCCTTGGGAGCCCAGAGAAAAACCCCCTGGCTCCTTGGCTCCTTCCAGGTTCACACGCGGTGCGCCGGCTGCAGCGGCGGCCATTGGAGGGTGACCCAGCGGCAAAGGAAGACCGTCTCTCTCTGTCTCTCTCTCTCACTGTCCACTCTGCCTGTCGTACATTGAATAAACAGAAAAAAAAAAAAAAAAAAAAGATATAAGAGCATGCTCATGTTAGGTACTTACATAAATTGTTACATTATTTTTTCTTATGTAATACCTTCTTGTTTATTCACGTGATTCAAATATATTCTTTCCTTAAACTCTTAAAAAATAAGAGTGTAATATACTTCCCGCCCCATCCTTGCTCCCACACATGCTGCCACCCACCCTCGCCCTTCATTTCTTATTTTGCTCAAATTTTTACAATGACATACTTTCAGTTTATTTTATAATCACAAGCTTAACCCTCCAACAAATAAGGAATTCAACAAGAAGTAGAAAAACAATTGCTCCTCAAGAGTATAGACAAGGAGGGTGGCACTATGGCATAAAGTAAAGCTGCTGACAGCAGTGCCAGCATCCCATATGGGCACCGGTTCGAGACCCAGCTGCTCCACTTCTGATCCAGCTCTCTGCTGTGGCCTGGGAAGGCAGTGAAAGATGGCCCAAGCCCTTGGGCCCCTGCACCCACATGGGTGACCCTGAAGAAGCTCCTGGATCCAGGCTTTGGGTTGCCTCACCTTCGGCCATTGTGGCCATTTGGGGAGTGAACCAGCTGATGGAAGACCTCTGGCTCTCTTTGCCTCTGCCTCTCTGTTACTCTCCCTTTCAAATAAATAAATAAATCTTTTTAAAAATGTGTAGATATGGCTGGAAACAATAATCACATCTCAAAATGTTGATTTTGCTGAATACATTACATTTTTGATATTCTATAGTAACTGACACACATCAGAGAAAACATGCAATATTTATCTTTTGGGAACTGGTTTTATTCTGTATTTTTCTTTTCCTTGTCCATGCTCCATGTTCTACTGAAGCTTGCAGGAAGGGCATGCAAAGACGAATAGTGACAAAATCTCCTTATGAAGGTCCAATTCCACTGCAAAGAGGCAGAAAAAAAGGATGAATCAAGCATGAAGTTGTAAAGCTTCCACCCCAAATCAATACTTATTGCTTCCACTCGCATTTCACGAGCTGAAGCAAGTTATATGGCATTCTCAGCTACAGTGGGGTTGGAAAACGTTTCCACTGTGTGCCTACATAGCAACAAGTCAGAAATATTTGGTGAATGAGACTACAATTATTACAGTCTTAGTTATCAACCATGTCCAGTTTCTGGTTTTTTCTCTGAAAGACCAAATCCAAAATTCAAACTCTACAGGGTTTGTTCCTAAGAAGAAGTAAACATTTCACCACATAAACCCTTATCACATTCATGAGTTTACATTGGAAACATTGTGTACCACATATAAAAGATAGCCTCTCTGGGCCCCTGGGCTCAGAGACTGTCATGTTAGTTTACCCCTAAGATTCCACAAGCAGACTCATTATACCAACAATGGAGGTTTCACTGGACTAGAGAAAAATAAGGAAGAAATGAACAAAGGGGAGGAGGGGGAGGGAGAAAGAAAGAGGAAGGAGGAGGAGGAAGAGGAGAAGGAGGTGGAGGAGAGAAAGGAAGGAAGACAGAGAGAAAGAGAGCAAAGAAAGAAAGAAAGCCAGAGAAAGAAAGAAAGAAAGAGAGAGAGAGAGAGAGAGAAAGAAAGAAAACAAAATAAGTAATGAGCTTCTGAAAAAGCAAAGTTCACTCCATTATTTTAGGAAGTATACCTTATTTTGATATCAAATGTTTGTTACTTTTGTGGTTAAAAAGATTTCTATAGGAAATTGTGGTGATGGATATTGGTGGACATACATCATATTTAAAATAAATTAACTTGGCAAAATGCTAGTACAATATATCTACCTTATTTTCTCTTAAATGTTAATCAATCAACCATGAAATCTGAGATTCTGCAAGTCTGTTATCTGGTTTCTTCTTTATTTTCAAAGGAGGAAAACAGAAAGTGATTTACATCAAAACACCTATATTTAATTGATAATAAAACAATCCTTAGATTATTGGATTCACATTTCTAGTTGGCTAAATGCTGTTAATCTGTCTTCCAGAATAGCTGTAGACTTGATCACTAATAATATTTGTCCAGAGAAGATGAAAGAAAACATTTACTTTACTCTGTGTGAAATACATGTGCGGACTCTGGCCTCAGAATCAGCCCTTAAGGCATGCGAATCCAGCTGAAAAGCCCCTGAGAGTATTTCAGGCAT